CTTCTTCTGTAAACCATCTAAAAAAAACTTTCGAATGTATAGTATGTAAGGGTAATCATCGTATTTTCGAGTTTCCAGTGTTCTACGCTAAAACTCCTGAAGAGAGGATTCCTACGGCTACGTTATTAATCCTTTGTAAAAATTATTTAAGACCGGGTCATAATACACGAGGATGTAAGCTCCAAATTTATTGTATTTGTAAAAAAAGACATAATTCAATGCTTCACTTGGATATGAATATCAAAAATTGTAACTCTATTCCAAGTGAAACATTGCCTATGTCAGCACTCTGCGCTCCGCAAGTCTTACTGTGCACCGCTAAGGTCCGAATCTCTAACCCGAAAACTGAAAATACTATAACCGTGTAAGCAATACTTGATAGTGGGAGCCAGTCTTCATTTATTACTGATATTGTAAAAGAAAGACTTGACTTCTCAACCATCAAATATAAATATTATAGGAATTGGTAACAAGCAGCTTAATATAAACACAGAGTGTTGCGCTATCCGCGTACAATCTCATGATTCCTTCAAGGTTATTACGTATTGTTTGACTATACCCACAATATCTTGACTTATCTAGCTTTCAACTGGCAGATCTCAACTTTTATGAGCCTTCTCCTATCGATATGCTAGTCTGAAACCTTATCGGGTCACAACGGCGCTCTTTAGGATAATATAACCCGGTTATGAGTAGCTCCAAGTTTGTTTGGCTTGTCGGTGACCCCATGCCCATTCAATCTAATATTTCCACAAAACAAATTCAAGGAAATTTTTTAATAAAAGAAAAAGAATTTGCTAACATAGATGATCAACAAACCAAAGCTCTAACAATTGAGGAAAGACTTTCCCAGGAGCATTTTTTAATGAATACCGTTCGTAAACGTGATGAAAACGTCTTGATGGTTCATATTCATGAGCAAAAAAAGGTTTTGAATTTTTAAAGAAGCGTTTCAAATTAAGGCCACAACTTAAGGAACTTTTCGTTCAATTTATTGACGAATAGCCCTTCTTGATCATCTCTTGCGATTCCCTATTAAAAGTCCAATTGGTGCATATTTTCTTATTCATCGCCCGGTGATAAAGAAAAAGAACGAGTCTACAAAGCTTCGTGTAGTATTCGACAACTTGGCGCAAACTACTTCTCAGTTCAATCACTTATTGATTCACAAATGAAAGGGCCTATTATACAAAACTCCCTCATTAATATTTTATTACGATTTAGTTTGTACAAATACATTATTTCGGGCGACATCGAAAAATGTATCGTCAAGTTAATTTTAGAGCATCGGATAGAAACCTTCGGTTAATTTTATGGCGTGATAATGAATCCAAAGCTTTCAAACTTTACAGTAACATTTTTTCAAGCGCGAGTTTTTTTGAGTACCAGTGTTTGTGGCAACTTAAATCAAAACGATCTATATTGTGATGTTTTTACGAGCAGATAGTAAACAAGAGCTGCTTCACATTCAACGCTCGGTAGCTAATGAACTCAAAAAAGGTTGCTTTAACTTAAAACGTATAGATAAAGCTTGTTTGAGCTCTTCGAGAGTAGCTCTATAAACAAGGAAGAAGGCAATCAAGTTATCAGTAATACTCTGAACACTCTAGGTATAGGTTGGTCTCATCACATAGATCAATTACATTTTCTTGTCGAATATACTCCTACGATAGTTTTCACTAAAAGTTCTATATTGTCAACAACTTTTAAAATTTTTAAACCTTTAAGATTATCGCTTTCACAATCAAGACAAAAATTTTGCAACATAATTATGTGCTGAATAATTAGATTGGGACGAGCCCGTTTCGCAAAGAATAAAATCGACTTAGCAGCATTTCATTTTCCATTTAGACACGTTGTCTTCGCTGAAAATCCCGAGACGGATATTAATTTATAAACCAATTTGTATTGAAATACATTGTTTTTGTGATGTCTCCCAACTAGCATATGGCGCGTGTATTTATTTGATTGTGTAACGCTAATGGTGACGTAACTGTTAAACTTTTATGCGCTAAAATTCGGCTACAACTATCCCAAGACTTGATCTCTGCGCTTCTCTATTGGATGCTCAATTAGGCTCTACTGTCATTCAAGTGCCAAGGTGCAAAATTCATCGTCAAGCTTATTTGACGGACTCTAGTGTAGTATTAGGTTGGCTAAACTCATGTGATAATGCTAAGCTTTTCATAGCAAATAGGGTGGCAGCTATACAACATGTAACATAATTAACGCACTTTGAGAAAGTGGTTTGTTCATTTTTAATATAGGTATAGGTAAAAATAATTAAAACTACGTAAATTACAGTCACACTAAATCTGTACAGTCAAAACAAACTGAAATGGATCGTAACTTAGAGCAATAAGACTTTTAAGAGTGCAGTTTTATTTGTATTATTACTAATTCTGTCATTCAATAAAAAATGAACTTTATTCCAAGCACGTTAATCTTTGCGTTCGTGGATTTGTACTGTGACCACAACATTCTTCCGGAATTAGTATAACTAATTTGATAAATAATCAGTGCATAAAAATGTTTAACTAAAAATTCAGTGTATGTATTATGATTATAAGATAATATACTAATTGGGGTGTCTGAGGTTGTGCGTTAATTACGTTACATATTGTAGTTGAGCTTTCAAACACGACGAATTGGCGGCATGTTCCTACCACCCTAAGTCCAGCCGATCTTGCCTCTCGCGGAGTAGATCCTCAATACGTGTGCGCCTCTTCTAAATGGTGGGATGATCCACTCTTTCTTCTTAAGCCTGCTGCCCGAAATGCAATCCATTTTCACCTTAGTTGCGGAAACTTGTACCAAGGCTCTATTGGAATTTAAAAGGCACTCTAATTTTTCTTTATTAACTAGCTTTACGGCTCTTGTTTCTAGAACTTCTGAGCCAGGTACTCTAACATTACTATGTTCTAAAGAGTATATTCTAGAGTTTTCGATTTATACATGATTGTCGTTATCCTAGCAGCAAATTATTGGGTCCTCTTAGAGTCGCAGAACTTCAAAAGGCATTAACAGTTTTAATTAAAATAGCTCAAGGTGAGTCTTTCCGCAATGAAATACAGCTTCTTTGTACTAAAGGGACTTTGACCTCCAACGTGCCTCTATCTTCTCTAGCTTCATTTCTAGATAAAAGTGACATTATCAGAGTTGACGGAAGAATCGATGCCTCCACATTTGCTTATGATAAGAAACATCATGTAACTACTATACACTATGTAACTACTCTTAGTTAATTAAAGGTATCAAGATATCGTTAAAATAATCTAAATTTAGTAATACGAATAGCAATTACACCCATCATGTGTCAACTTGCAAAATACTATATCGTCATTTCGAAATTCCCCAACACTATCATAACCTTTTTTTTATTAGCCTTTTTCGTAACTTTTAACTTTTTCGTAAGACTTTTGGAGAAGTGATGTTAGTAAACACTTTTGAGCCGCAATTAAATATTAGTATGATACTTTTTAGTGCATATTCTTATTAATACATTTACACTTTCATTCATTCGGATTCACACAACATTAAAAATACTTCAAATATCATCATAATTTCAGTCGATCATAAGCTTGGTGTCGAACAAAGTCCTCTGCATAGATCCACAAAGCACGTTCCTGAGTCATTCGTATCTAACAACTCCCTGCTTGTTCCGTCGTGGTCGTCACTCCATCTAGAGGGGGTTATAGTCCAACACTGCTTTTTCCACTACCATTTCAGAACTTTTCTTCCTAAAAGGTTCTCGATTTATAAACAATAAGCCTTGCGCTATCTTTAATTTCATGCTTCGAAAAAAATTAAGAGTGGACAATATGGAAACACTAGTGCAGTAGAGAAATTTGCCTATGGTCGAAGTTTGTTTACGTAACAATGATTTTTTATAGAATAAGGGAGACAAACGAGCACACAGTCTACCTGATCAACTTTCCGGGAAGTCTGCAGTTTGTGATGATTCTTCACGTCAGCTAAAATATATATATATATATATATATACATATATATATATATATATATATATATATATATATATATATATATATTGAGCTATTTTAATTAAAACTGTTAATGCCTTTTGAAGTTCTACGACTCTAAGAGGACCCAATAATTTGCTGCTAGGATAACGACAATCATGTATAAATCGAAAACTCTAGAATATACTCTTTGTAACATAGTAATGTTAGAGTACCTGGCTCAGAAGATCTAGAAACCAGAGCCGTAAAGCTAGTTGATAAAGAAAAATTAGAGTACCTTTTAAATTCCAATAGAGCCTTGGTACAAGTTTCCGCAACTAAGGTGAAAATGGATTGCATTTCGGCAGCAGGCTTAAGAAGAAAAGGTGGATCATCCCACCATTTAGAAGAGGCGCACACGTATTGAGGATCTACTCCGCGAGAGGCAAGATCGGCTGGACTTAGGGTGGTAGGAACATGCCGCCAATTCGTCGTGTTTGAAAGCTCAACTACAATATGTAACGTAATTAACGCACAACCTCAGACACCCCAATTAGTGTATTATGTTATAATCATAATACATACACTGAATTTTTAGTTAAACATTTTTATGCACTGATTATTTCTAGACACGGCGGCCAAAAGTACTTAAGTCAATTTTTGCGCTAAATTCTAAAAAGTTACAGAAATCGTGTTTTTGTATCATCCGTCGACTGGAAGAGGCACTTAAGTCTCCGACGCTTAATTTAGATGCAACAGCCGACTGTACCATATAACTTACATTTTATCAACACATCGAGTGGCGACAAAAATTACTTAAAGTGACATAAGTTTTCTTATACTGCAAGCTGACTGACTTAAGTGGTTTTTTACAATGGTCCATTTTTGTTTTTTATAATACTTTCAAGTACCTACCCCCTTTTTTAAGGGTATGATAAAGTGGTAAATTTTAGTTAAATCAAAAGAAATACACATTTCTTCATTAGTTGTTATTTGTTTCTGTATGACGGTGGTGGTGTACGTTAAGTTAACTGTGTCGCAATGGATTCAAGGGCCAGAAAATTGGTGAATCTCGCCATAAATAATGACAGTGCAGCAATGAATGAGAATACAGGTATGTTGTGAACTTCTTTTTCCTGCTCTTATCCCAGTAATTTGTGTCGGGGTAAAAGTTTTCTGATGTGAACGTTAGTTTATCATTTTATTACAATAGGTAATATGCAAAACTGTTTAATAGCTTTAGTTGAGATTACCACACCTCTTTAGAAAGTTTTTTTTATATTTAAAAACATCACAATTTCCAATCTCTTATCAGTATTTATTATTGTTGTTTTTTACAGGTGACGAAAACTTATTCAGTAATCCACAACCAAGTACATCTGGAACCCTAAAACAAACTTTAAGATGAAACAGTAAGTGAATTTTCTAGTGACGATTCTGTGGCCGATCCTAACTACTCTCCGGGCAGTCCTAGCTTACTTACACAACATAAAGAAATGGAAATTGCTGTTCCTAATGCATCAGTGGATATGCATATAACGCCAGACAATGAGACACCTGAAAACATTGGAGATATTTCTTTGCTACAACAAAACCAACCAGTGTCCTGTAGAAAAAAGAAGCAAGAAAACAAATTAAAAAGAAATCTTGGCCAATCTTATGTGACAGCTTCTGGGAAAACTATTGGAAAACGTCAAATGAAAGAATTACCTAACTGTCGGAATAAGTACCGACAGAAAATAAGTGATAAATAGCGCGCTTTGATACACAAGGAGGTTTGGAATCTTGGGTCTTACGATTTAAGGGCAGCATTCATTTCATCTTTGATCACTATCCAAGAGAAAAAACTGAACGTCTTCATGTCGAAGATCCTGACAAACAAAAATGTAGACAGCACACTTACAAATATAATTTCAACGTTAATAGTGAAAAAATATCGGTGTGTCAAGGGTGTTTTCTAAAAACCCTATCAATAAGTGATAATTTTGTAAAACTAATCGGGTTAAAGAAACGTAGCAGCTCAAGTGGCATTATAAAAATAAACGTGGGAAGAATATACCACCGAACAAACATTCTGAACAAAAAATTGAAGAGGTGATTAAACATATCAATTCGTTTTCGCTTTATGAAAGCCATTACACTAGACGCAAAAGCACCCGGAAATATTTACCATCGCATTTGACAATATCAAAAATGTATTCTCTTTATTCAACTTCACATGAAAATCCTATAAGTGACAAGATTTACCGTAGTGAATTCCACAAATTAAATTTAAGTTTCAAAAAACCAAAAGTGGACACATGTCACACTTGCGACCTGTTTAAAATGAAATTAAACATTGCTACGGACGAGACGAAAAAATCTGCTCTTGAAACAGAACGGGACGCACACTTACTAGCAGCTGATATGGCTTACAATGAAAAGAAATCTGACAAAAATACCGCAGTTACAGATAAAAAATCATGTGTCTGTCTTTTGACCTACAACAATGCTTGCCAACCCCAGCTTTGCAATCATCTGTAGCCTTTTACAAAAGACAACTTTGGACCTTTAATCTAACGATACATGATAACGGAACTGTAATGTCAACGCACCACATGTGGCATGAGGGAATTTCGGGTCGGGGAGCTAATCAAATAGCCTCTTGTTTGTTTTTATATTTAAAAGAACTTCCTGAAGAAGTTTCAGAAGTAATTTTGTACTCTGATACTTGCAGAGGACAAAATAAGAACACTCATGTGGCTGCAATGTTTACCTACTTGTTGTCAGTAAAACCCTCTATTTAGTTAATAAATCACCTGGTACCTGGTCATACAAATATGTAGGTGGACTTGGACTATGCAATTATAGAAAAAAAAGAAAAAAACTGAAACTGAAATTTATCATCCACATGATTGGATGCAATTAGTCAGGTCGAGCAACAAAAAAATTTACAATTTAAGAAATGCGGCAAGCAGATTTTTTTGACTTCGCTGGATTATTGAAAGGGTCGTTAGTAGTCCGAAAAAAAAAAGACGTGATGGAAATATTTTCAAATGGCATGATGTGAAGTGGCTGTGTTACGAAGCTGAGTATGGCGTCATAACATACAAAAAATGTCTGTCAAGAGATGAATGTTTCAATACCATTAATTTCAAACGGAACACGCGACGAGAAAAGGAATTTAATTTGATGCAGATTACTGCAAAGCCGGTACCAATAAGCATTGAAAAAAAAACGTGACATAATATCACTTTTATCTTTAATACCGGAATGTTTCCATAATTTTTACCAGAATTTAGTAACTTGTACAGACACAACTGACGTTGATCCAGATATATCAAGTTCTGAAGAAAGTAGCTTTTAGTTTATTATAAAAACTTAACTAATAAGCATTATTATAATTAAATGTTATTGATAGTTCATTTTCATATTTTTAAACATTAATAAGCTACGTAGTTGTATGCTGCAGTAATTAACACTTAAGTTGCGATTTTTTTGCGCACATAAAAACTTAAGTCAGATATTTCAGATAATAATAAGTTTGAAATATACTAAATTTAACGTGTAACTAGTTCGTGATTATGTAACAAAGAACAATAAAAATAAAAACCGTACTACATTTTTTTCACACCAATCGAATATAACCCTCCACTATAAAATTTTTGTATGCAAAAAGATTTGACTTAAGTGCTTTTAACTTCCGAGTCTAGATTTATCAAATTAGTTATACTAATTCCGGAAAAATATTGTGGTCACAGTACAAATCCACGAACGCAAAGACTTTAACGTGCTTGGAATAAGTTCATTTTTTTATTGAATAACAGAATTAGTAATAATACAAATAAAACTGCACTCTTAAAAGTCTTATTGCTCTAAGTTACAATCCATTTCAGTTTGTTTTGACTGTACAGATTTAGTGTGACTGTAATTTACGTAGTTTTAATTATTTTTGGTTAATAAAATTACCTATATTAAAAATGATAGGAATCGATTCAGAAACGATTCTGAACAAGGTACTTTCTCAAAGTGCTCCCAACGGATAGGTATTAAAATGAACATGGACAAAACAAATATCATGTTTATTGTCCATGTCACACCGATGCCTGTAGTTGTTGCGAGCACTATCCTCCAAGTTGTTGACGAGTACGTTTACCTGGGACAAATATTTCGACTAGGTAAGTCCAACTTCGACCGAGAGGTCAATCGACGGATTCAACTCGGCTGGGCAGCGTTCGGGAAATTACGACATATCGTCTCGTCAGGTATACCTCAATCTCTAAAAACTAGGTTGTACAACCAGTGCCTGTTGCCAGTGATGACTTACGGATCTGAGACGTGGTCCTTCACTGCTGGCCATATTAGGACGTTCAAGGTCGCTCAGCGAGCTATGGAGAGTGTTATGCTCGGTGTTTCTCTGCATGATAGACTCAGAAATGGGGATATCCGCAGTAAAACCAGAGTGACCGACTTAGCCCAACGGATTAGTAAGCTGAAGTGGCAATGGGCTGGCCATATAGCTCTAAGAACCGATAACCAATGGGGAAGAAAGATTCTCGAGTGGCAGCTTCGTAACGGTAGGCGCAGTGTAGGGCGACTTCCCACTAGATGGAGTGACGATCTGGTAAAATATGCAGGAAGTCGATGGATGCAGGTGGCTCAGGACAGTGCTTTGTGGCATTACTTGGGGGAGACCTATGTTCAGCAGTGGACTTGTGAAGGGCTGTAATGATGATTATGATGATGCAACGAAAGGGTCTTTTTGCAGCCAATGAACTAACCGACATTTTTTATTATTATTACCAATAATATTTATATGTTTGTTTGTTCGGTTATAGACAAAATATTTAAAACTTAATATCAAAGTAATCCTGTTGTGTGCAATATTAATGAACCGCCAGCAAACCATACCCGCCGCTATATCCTCATTAACGACCGTTAGCAATCAGTGTGTATTAGATTAGTTTGTGCTTCCTGGACTTGATGAACAGTATCTACAATTTTAGCCTTCGCTATAAATTTTACAGTACGCTAAAATCATAAACATCGTGAGGAAACTTGCATTGCGGAGAGGTATCAAAAATATTTTGAAAACACGTGGAGTCCGTCAGCACGATGAACATTTCCTTGCCTTAAAGAAATTTTGTTAAAGAGTTTTATTTCTATTCCATTTCATTAAATCAAACAATTCTTAGTGCATGAAATTTTAATAGAAAAAAAATCCAAATTAACTTTGGAAAAATATTGAACATGTGGCACATTTATGCCACAACTTTCAAATTATATAAATTTCATCCTCCTCTGTGTGTCATCATCATCATTCATCATTACAGCCCTTCACAAGTCCACTGCTGAACATAGGCCTCCCCCAAGTAACGCCACAAAGCACGGTCCTGAGCCACCTGCATCCATCGACTTCCTGCATGTCTTACCAGGTCGTCACTCCATCTAGTGGGGGGTCGCCCTACACTACGCCTACCGGTACGAGGCTGCCACTCGAGAACCTTTCTTCCCCATCGGTTATCGGTTCTTCGAGCTATATGGCCGACCCATTGCCACTTCAGCTTACTAATCCGTTGGGCTATGTCGGTCACTCTGGTTTTACTGCGGATATCCTCATTTCTGAGTCTATCACGCAGAGAAACTCCGAGCACAGCCCTCTCCATAGCTCGCTGAGCGACCTTGAGCGTCCTCATACGGTCAGCAGTGAAGGACCACATCTCTGATCCGTAAGTCATCACTGGCAACACGCACTGGTTGTACACTTTAGTTTTCAGAGATGGAGGTATACCTGACGAGAAGATGTGTCGTAATTTCCCGAACGCTGCCCAGCCGAGTTGAATCCGTCGATTGACCTCTCGGTCGAAGTTGGACTTACCTATTCGGACTATTTATCCCAGGTAAACGTACTCGTCAACAACTTCGAGCATAGTGCTCCCAACAACTACTGGCATAGGTGAGACATGGACATTAAACTGGATCTTTGTTTTGTCCATGTTCATCTTAAGACCTATCCGTTGGAAGACACCATTGAGGTCATTAAGCATAGTGCCAAGGTCCTCCAGCGATTCTGCCATAAGAACTATATCGTCAGCAAATCGAAGGTGAGTGATGTACTCGCCATTGATGTTAATACCGTATCTGTTCCAGTCCAGTAGCTTGAAAACATCTTCCAATGCAGCGATGAAGAGTTACGGGGGATATAACGTCACCCTGTCTTACACCTCTCTGCAGTTGGATAGGTTTCGAGCTCTGATTCTGTACTCGGATAGCCATCGTAGCCCTACTGTACAAACACTTCAGCACTTCGATATACCGACAGTCAACTTGGCACCGCTGAAGGGACTGTAGCACCGCCCAAATTTCGACGGAATCAAAGGCTTTCTCATAGTCCACATACGCCAGGCAAAGTGGCAGATTGTACTCTTCGGTCTTCTGTACAATCTGGCGCAGGGTATGTATGTGGTCTATAGTACTGAAGCCTATTCGGAAACCGGTTTGTTCGGGAGGCTGGAAGTCGTCGAGTCTGCGTGCGAGACGATTCGTAATGACTCTCAAAAACAACACGTAGACGCCGCTCAGAAGGGAAATCGGTCTGTAGTTCTTCAATAGAGTGTTGTCGCCTTTCTTAAAGAACAAGACCACCGCACTTCTGCTCCACGCCTCCGGATTAGTTAGCCACCATGGAGGACGGAATTGAAGAGCTTCTGAAGGATTTCAAGTACCGGTGTTTCACCCGCTTTCAGAAGCTCCGCTGTAATTCCATCCTCCCCTG